CACTTTCATTCGGCGATCTTCATGACGATACGATGCATTTTTCTAATCATTTCTGACGTAGTGACTTCAACTGGACGTCTGGAACGTTGAAATTGAGCATGGCAGCAGTTGTTGTAAAAATGGAGAAAGACGAATTCCGTGCAATGACATTTGTACACACATACACAAGTACACGCGCGCGCACACACACCACGCGCGCGCACACACACACACACACAAAAGAAAATCTGACCGGACAACCTCCACGCATTACACTTTGGGTAATGCCAATTGAAATTGTGTACGTGTGTATAAGCCTGCAAATAACCATTAAAATCCTAAGTAGAAAATAAAACATAAATCTAATGAGATATGGACCGCTAAATATAGATACACTCACCGCATCCGCTGTCGCACATTGCACACCTTAGATAACATCGATGCACTGATAAACGCCGATTCGCGAAACTTATGAAATCTTTCTACACAATGATCATTTTCGTTGATTTGAACAAGTGAAATTGTTTTATCTAACAAAACAAATAATTAATGCTTAAAAAAAATCTTACGAACGGACAGGAAATTAATTTAAATAATTAAATAGTTTGTGAATATATTTGAAGATATATTATTATGATCAAAAAATATCGGGATTGGCTCATTTAAACTATACATTTCGAAAATATCGCATTTCGAAGAAAAATTTTTCTTTATAGATTATTATAAAATTGCCTAAAATTTCACGTTATTATCAAGAGGCACGGGTGATATCTCTATGCCAAGTTCACACGGAACGAAGTTCGCATAGAACGGCGCTCGTAGTTCTCTCTACGCAAGACCCCGGGATGAACTCGATCTACATTTTCATATCTCAGCAATGACTGCATTGATTAAGTTCTAACTGCGTTTAATCGATAGCTGAGTATCAAATTATATAAGAAAAGTGTTTATATTTTTTTTTCGTGTTCTGCAAACTGAGATATCACGTCGCAAAGTTCAAATTGGTAAATTTTAAACGTCCTGATCGTCGTTGACCGACTTTCATTTTTCTGTCGCAAGAAGCGCTAGTGAACGCTTCTATATGATAGCTCTTGCAGTCCTCATTTTTATGATTCTTATCTTTGACAGATATCTTGTGAAGTTGTATGTATTAATAAAAAAGAAAATATAACATGTGTCACGTATAATAGTAATATATAATTAAATATTTCTTTTTCGGGGTGGTATCACTCTCATGACCTATGTAAAAATTGTACAGGGAAAGATACAATATTTAAAAATGAATTAACATTGACATGAGAAATATTTAAAAAAATAGATCAATTTTTGTGTGCAGTACCAACAACTACAATATTAGTATGGAGATAATTTTATGAGGTAATGAATGCCATTTTTCATCATTGATCATCTATTGAAGATGGCCATTATTATACAAGTATATGTAGAGATGAAATGTCTAACGAATGGATAGACAATGATCATGTGCAAATTAACAAGAAAATATTGTCTAAAGAAGAAAATTGTCCAAAAAATGTGTATACCTTTTTTTAAAAAGGATTATTAAAAAAAGTAGATTGTTCTTTCTAATATATATATATATATATAAAGTATAAAAATATTTCAAATATGATAGACATTATTAGTTATTAAAAAAATTAATTCTAATAACATTCTAATAATTCTAATAACATTGCGTTTTAAAAAAGATAAAAAATAACGCCAAATTAACGCGCCCCTTTTCTTATTTGTGGAAAAGGAAGAATTTTATGTAAAAGTTTCCATCTACAAAAATCTTTTTAGTAAGAAACTTTATATTGGTATAAAGGATGTGATATTAAGAATCAGCGCCAACTTCTAATTTAATAAAATAAAAAGAACTTTACAGTGAAATACATTTTATTTTGTAGTTCATTTTTATTTGAAAAGTCGTTTCATTATTTCTACAAAAAACATAATATTAAAAAATGGTGCAAACAAAAAAATGCAACAAAAACTGCAAACTTTTAATTCTATAAAGTAAAAAAGAAAGTTTGCAAAGATGAAAAAAGATGTTATCAATCCAAAATTAATATCAATTTGTAGTTGCCAATAAAATTATATTGAATTATTGTGTTTATATAAAAATAAAACATAAAAGAAAATCTGATGTGTAAGAAAAGAATACGACATACTTGACGCGCCCAGGTCGCATTAAAAACTACTTTTTAATAATAGCATTGAATTATGTGACAAATAGAAAATAATTTAAATTAAAATTTAATATATTTTAAAATTTTTTACTTATATTCTTATAATTTATTCTTTTTTCAATAACTAAATAAAATTAACTAAATAAAATTAATGAAATATGTAATAAATTATTAATTAATGTAACATTTATTACATAAATAATGCAAGAAACTTAAGAGTTTATTTTATTAGAATATTATAATAGTATAAATGCACATGTTTTAATATTTATTAATAAATTTTTTTTAACACTACATGTTTACATAATATTAAAAAAAATTATATAAGTAAAGTTATATAAAAAATTTTACTTATAAATATTTTTAAAAGTAGTATTTACATTATTAATGTAAAAAGATAAACAGTAAGAGTATAATATAATATAATAAGTATATACGTGTTTTAATGCGACCCGGGCACGCCAAGTTTTTTTTTACACATCAGATTTTCTTTTATATTTTATTTTTACATAAACACAAGTACAATAATTCAATAAAATTTTATTGGCAACTACAAATTGACATTAATTTTGGATTAATAACATCTTTTTTATCTTTGCAAAGTTTCTTTTTTACTTTATAGGATTAAAAGTTTGCTCCCTTTGATATCATAGTTATTTGTAGAAATAATGAAACGACTTTTTCAAATAATAGTGAACTACAAAATAAAATGTATTTCACTGTAAAGTTCTTTTTATTTTATTAAATTAGAGGTTGGCGTCAGTTCTTGATATCACATCTTTTATACCAATATAAAATTTATTACTAAAAAGACTTTTGTAGATGAAAATTTGTGTATAAAATTCTTTCTTTTACACAAATAGAAAAGGGGTGTGAACTTGACATTATTTTTTACCTTTTTTTAAAAGATAATTTTGTTAGGATAGGATCTTTCTTACGAGAGAATAGATCGAAGTGTTCCCCCACGATTTCGATGAGCTTGTAATATATTGTTCTCTAGATCAAAATAAGAAACACTTATTTTTTTATACGTGCTCGCTTTCACTTTTAGGGGACGAAACACCCGTTTAAAAAAAGTCAGTTTTTCGAAGCAAATATCGTCACAATATAAGAAATAGAAGAAAATGTTTTGAATAAAAGTTGAATTGTTTCAAGAGTACTTTATAATAGAAATTTTTAAAAATTAAAATAAATTTTTTAAATATTTTTCTACTTTATTTTTTTCCAAAGTATTAAATTTTTTTAATGATGAAATTAAAGATTATTTTAATACAAATTCAATTGTATATCATAAAGTTATTTTGCCACATACCATTTTCGAAAAATAATTACAAACACTTGTAAAGTGTATACGCATGTTATTTGTGCGCTCAATTCTTCATATGTCTGCTCGCATTTTTTTCATAATAGAAAATGACGATGGAGGTAAACATATTTTGCATTCTGCGTATAATCGGAAATGACTTTTATTATGTACAGATAGAAAAACATTTATGTAATACTTGAACGTAAGGTAAGTAAGATCATAATATCATGTCACAGTGTTATCATATGAATAATAAAATATGAACGATCCAAAGTGCGCGAAGCGACGCATTTTTGATGCAAAATTAGCAATAATGTATTTGCAATCTTATTTTGCAATCTTATTAAGGGAGGAATCTCAATTTCGTCAAAAAATCGATTTTTTTAATGAAATCTTTTAGTTTAATAATATCTTAAGAATATCTCCATAAAATTTTGTATCAAAATTTGTTTCGTAACTTCAGGAGTTATAAGCTCTTAATCGACCGAATACCTGACCAAGTATAAGATTTTTAACAATCGACAGCTGTTTCGGTTTTGTTCTCAGCACAAGTTAGTCTAGGGACACTTGTATTATTTAACAGTGAAATTTTCAGTAGTCGTTTAACCTCCGAGTGAAACTGATGCACGCACGAAAATAAAGAACAATGAATTGTAAACATTCACGAAATACGTGCTAGCAGACCAAAGAAAAGAAAATTCACGGGTAATATTCACATTCAAGAAACGGATACTTCATTTGCAAGTACATCAGCAGAAAAATTATTCAGTATTCAAAACGAAATGCCAAAATATTTTGCAACGCGCGAGATCATCGCCTTGAAAAATCAACGCGATGGAGCCTTCAGGCTATGAAAGAGGCTCGAATAAAACGAAGAAACGAATAGATGGCTCAAAATCAATTTTATGAAAATGAGGAAAGATTGTTATATATCCTTGGAATAGCAGAGTAACAGATATAAGATGTAAGTACTTGATATACTTATATAAATTAAACTTAAAACTTTAAATGCTATTTTCTCAAAACAGTATTTTTGTAGATGGTGCACGATATTTTTGTAATCACTGAACCGATTACTTTCAAATTTGGCCTGCATGTTTAGCAAACATTACTTTATCGTTTGATGAACCAGAATATTAATAAATTACATATTTTTTTTATTACATAAAAATAATGAGTGAATTTTGATAGTAAAAAAATTATAATTCTGATTTGAAAACTCACCATTTCCACAATAATTATTTTTTTTAATTTTGGTTCATCAAACTGAAGCTACATGTGTATAAAGTAAAATGCCATTTGATTTTTCAGATTATCTGGAAGATTAATATCGTGCACACCAGTGGACGACGAACTTTGCGTGGCGTGATATTCGATTATTAATAAACATTTATTATTAAAATAATTAATATAAAAAAAACTGTAGTTGTTCAAACGTGAATAAAAACGTGATATAAATTTTACATAAATCAAATTGCTAGTTTAAAACAAAAATTTCCAAATTTTGTCATGTTTTTAGCCGAAATAATAGAACTACCTTCTTAATAATTTTACAGTTATTGCGATATGGATATTTTGTACAAAGTGTGATGTGCCTTATCAGGTAAAGGTATTTTATTATTTACGTAACATTTAACAATTATATTTATTATTATTATTGTTTTATTTGGTTGTGTTATTATTTTATTGTATCTTTGTTATTCATAGTCCTTCTAAATGTGATACCTATAAAAGAAACATTCCTTGTTGTGCGACCTTTTCAAAGAGATGTGAATTCGCCAAATATTAATCAGCTAGCCAACAACTAGCCAAGGAACAAGAGACACTGATAATGTTCGGTACAGAGATAGAGGGGCGGTATTAGTATAAATAATTTACGAATGCGAGAAATGCAAGAAAGATGAAATAAAAATTCAGTAGGAAGAGAGATACAACTAGCCCACAACTTCTGATAAAAGTCCGGAACAGAGACATAATATTAATCGACCGAGAGATACTAGAATGACATTATTACAAATAATCCGGGGTAGACAGATTCGTGAAAATTAAGAGCTTCCAGAAATTAAAAGAATATTCAAAATAGCTTTTAAATACATAAACCTAATTTACAGTTAGTTAAAAAATTGTGCATATAACATTACAAATTTATTTTCTTTCTTTCTGTTTTATCCTTTGCATCATAACTTAAACTTTCATTGCTCCTTATAGAATATGTATAATATGTATCAAGGTATTGACAGCATAAAAAGAAATAAAGGAATATCATAATTATATCAGGAGATATAGTAGTCTCGGGCAGTAGTGTCTCGGGTGTCAAGCCAACCGAAAAAAACTACCGTGTGACTTTACGAGTCGGCGAGATGCGAGCATCCGAAATTATCGGATCTCAATAACGGCTAAACCGATCAAGTTTTAAATAAGCGTGATCGGTAGCTTGAGTTCGACTTGCATAATAAGAGTATTTTTATTTTTCTACTACATGCCCTACAAGCGGAGATATTGCTACGCAAAATCTAAAATTTTTACTTTAAAAAAACGTTGTCATTATTATTGTCGTCGCCTTTGTACGGTTGCAATTTCTGTGAGAGGCGCTACTGAGCTCAAATTAGTCCAACTAAGTAAACTGCCTGTCGATGATTCGCTGAGTCTTATAGCAGCCCTGATTTATCCGCATGGTCGATAAGATCTAACGTGATAAAATGAACGCACGCATTGAAACGGACAATAATCTGGAATAAAAAGATATAAGTATATATTTCATAATATGTTGTGCTTCGAATTATAATATAGATTACTGTTAATATGTTCCTTTTGATGAACGCATATTTATCATTATTAATCTTCGACACAACAGATTATCGGGCCGATAAGTCAAGGTCACTAGTAGTAAGTAGGCAGTCATGGCGCATCAAAACAAATAATGTCACTGACGCCAGTGACAGGTCTGGCACGTGGAGATAGAGTACAGGAGATAATCAAATTATCGGTCTATACGTTCTGATTGGCACTCTCTATGGCTGCTCAGCAAGTTGATTGGTTTGCTCCATAGTGCTCCGCGTGTTGATTGGCTTGCTCCATAGTGCTGATAGGTTGCAGGACGATTTTGGAGATTTTGAAAAAATTTTAGAGAGAACAAAAATGGTGGAGGAGATGAAAAAAGAGATTTTGTGTTTTATCTCGGAGGAAGAGAGAAAAAAGGAACAAGTGGATTTTCTCTTAGAGGGATACGATTCATGACATGTATAACTTAAAGCTGAAAGAGAAAAACTGTATATTACAGGAAAAGAAATTTGCGTGAAAGAAATAACATGAATTAACATTACAAAAAAGTGTTTATTGCTACATTAAATCTTTCATAAGATCTTTCATAAGATGTCTTTTACATTTTATTTTTAAAATTTTTACATGATTGAACGTGACAACACGCTTAAAGTTTTATACATTTTTTTTTTATTATGAAGAAAAATCTTACGAAATAGTTGTACAATTATCATTATTTTCACAATTTTCGGAAAAAATATTGAGAAACTGATTAATATTATAATCACGCGACAGATAATAAAGAAATACGCAGTATTGGCCGCAAGTCTGAGGAAACATTCCTTGTAGTCTAATGGTGTTCCATAAGTGTTAGAGTTTTGTTGTAGGAGGTTGTAGGAGTTGTAGGAGGAATCTGGGATCCAAGGGTAGTAATCCGTAATTATTGAAATATGCTGCTGTTCCATATTCATCGATGTAAAAGGCGACAATGTTCAGGTCGATTGTGTTTATTCATGTTTGCGACGATGGCTGTCGACCTCGTCCATACCTTCGATATTTTGTCGGCTGGAAAGACTCCCGTATATCCGACATCGAGTTGGCGCAGCGCGCATAAAATTTTCAAAGAATTCATATGAGCTTAGTGATCGGGTGAGAGGGATTATTTGCCCAACTTCGGTGTTCACTTTTCGTCAAAGCCGTTGCCGCTTTTTCCGACGAATGTATCATCGTATTACCGGGAACGTGAGAAATTTACGCGACATCTGACTCGTTTTTACGAATCGACGGAAATTCGATTTTTGTAAAAGATAATTTTCTCTCACTTCACTTTTCGTTTGTTTAGTCTCTTTTTCTTCTTCTTCTTCTTCTACGTTATTTCTTTTGTACGCTTCGATGCTATGGTTTATATTTAATTTTTAATTCTAAACAAGGGGAATTCTATAAGTAGAGAAGATTATGCCAAAGATTTCACGCTTTTCATTTTCAATTTCACTTCCGATCTATCGGCAAATTTCGCGGGACATTAGAATTTTGTCTGACATGGAAGTTTACAATTAGAGGGGTGATTTGAAAAAGCTGTTACCACAACGATTAATTGTATTGTTTACGCAGAGTTCGATAACGCAATGTTAGAAATCGATTCCTCGCATCAAATTATCATTGATTTTAGTGGATAAGGTACTCAAATTTCTCCCCCACCCATCGTTATCTACTTTTTATTTCTGTTACTCCGAAAGCATAACGAAAAATAGCTGTAGTTTTGCTTTAGACGCGAAGTGACGTTCGAGTGTCACTTCAGGCAAAACAGATTGAAAGTGCATTCTACTACTAGTCCATTATGGATATAGTTATCGATATACAAGGTTTCTGCGACGCTGAGGGGAAGTTTATACCGAAGGAAGTAGCGGTTGTCGCTGTTAACGAAGCATTCATAAGCTACTGCATTATGATGCCTCCATATCCATTTGTCGAATTACCCAAAAAATACAGACGAGAAAATAACTGGCTCTCTCGAAACTTCCACGGAATCGAATGGTTTGACGGAACAACCAATTCCAAACATTTCATAGCGGAATTGCGTGAAATTGCATGACGAGCGCGTTACACAGAGTCCGAGAAAAGCTACATTATTTGCAAAACACACTTGCAAGAAACACAAGTATATAATCTAGAAGGAATCTCTCCCGCATTCAAAAACCTCGGAAGAGCATGAATTACGCTGCAGTCATCACGGGTTTCATCGAAATTTCGACAAATTTCATTGCGCGTTACGCAATGCATGCAAATTGAAATACTGGATGCAATCACAAGAAGAGAACTGCGACATATACAGAGGTAATTCTTTTACCAATCCAGAAAGCTCCGATGACAACGATGCAGAAAGCGGGGTTTTTACGATAAAACGAAATTTCCTGAATCTCGTTACGTGGGGAAATAAGAGATTAGAAACAGAACAAGCGAGGTGCGAACAAGTAAAAACGCAGAAAGAAGATCTATCGAAACTCACGCATGAAAAAAAGGAAGCTCCTACCGTACAATCCTTGCAAGAAGATAAAAATATAACGACACTGACGAGCCAGGAAACAACTCAAACATCATTCCTCTCTGCGAAAGATGAATTCACTCGAAATCTTACGAGCGTTGTATCATCTCAGTCTCATGCGGGTGTGTATCGACAGAATCGAGGGTGTGGACGAAGTTGATGGCTATCGTCGCGAACACCGGTAATCACGATCGTCCTGAACAACACTGGGTTGCTTTCTACACAGACAAACATGGAGAAGGCATGTATTTCGATAGCTACAGACTACAGCCCTTGGATTCCAGATTCAATCTACGACTTCGACGAAACTACTACTCATAGATGGAACATCATGCGATTACAGGGCACATTTTCTCAGACTTGCGGACAATATTGCTACATATTTTTTTATTATTTGTCGCGCGGTTATAAGCTTAAACAGTTTTTCGAAATATTCGATGAAGATTACAAAGATAATAATATCAAAGATAATAATAGGCTAATTGTATAATTATTTCGTAAAATCTTTCTTCATGGAAAAAGGAATGTGAAAAATCTCATGTAATCTCATGTGTTATCATATACAAACTTGTACTTTTAAGAATAATTAAAGAAACAGTATTATGAATTATATAATATGTATAATGATATAACAATAAACTTAATTTTTTTGTAACATAATTCCAATCTTTGTCCATCTTACTTTTTTTTCCCTCTGACCTAAAATCAATCTTAGCTACATAACTCCAAGCTAAAAATATCTAATCATTTTTCAGATATTTTTCGTTTGTTTGTCGATTGTCATGGCCGGTCTCGCGCTTGTGAAGCGCTGACGCTTACACTTGATGATGACCATGTCTCTCGATACTCATACTTTATAAAGTAATATTTTATATTCAGTTTGGAATTCAACGAAAACATTTTGTATAATAGTGCATATATCATTAATATCAGATGATATATTTCGGTTCTCTTGGCATTCATATTTATGTCTAATAATTTCAATAGTAGAACTATGAAAGTTGCTTACATATTGTATTATTTTATGCGCTACTAATCGTGATAACGTAATATCAGCATATAATTTTGAAACGAATAAAACAGCGCTCTTTGTAACTATTTTATCAAACTCTTGTAACGACATCCTTGGATTATTCATTAATTGTTCGCAAGCATTTATTGATAACAAATCTTTGGAATTATTGTG